AATGCTTAATGAAAAATTTTTGCCCGAACCCAAGTCAAATTTATGTTAAAGTTTCATACTGTGATTGGCTAATAAATGTTTGTTTATTTATACTTTTCGAACATTAAATTCGTGTTGCTTGACGAAATATTTTAACACCCCTTTTAGATATATCGCAAACCACACTTACGAGATATACTACAAATTTCCCAAGAATTAAAATCAAGAAGGGAATCTTTAAAAATCGAACGATAAAGTTTATTGATCTGAAGAAAAATTATAAGGTATTTCTCCCGTCGTCTTGGCATACCTTCGTGGTGTAGTGGTGTAGTGGTATTCGAGAGGTCCGTAGTTCGAATGTCGGCGAGGGCATTGTTCATTTTTCATCTCTTCTGCTTCCAAACCACCTAATGTCCTTACAAGTGGCGCCTGAACAGAAGAAAAATGATTCTGCACCACCAGGATTTGGTGACTGGGTCCCCTAATCCCCAATCGCCCTTTAAAAGGGGGTGTATGTAAGGTATTTATCCCGCCTTCTTAGTATATCTTCGTGGTATAGTAGTCAGCACGCTCGATGCGTATTGGAGAAGTTCGCGGTTCGCGTCCCGGCGAGGGCATTGCTCATTTTTCATGTCTTCTGATCCGAAATAACCCAATGTCTCTACAAAGTAACCTGAAAGTTGAAAACTTCTGAGAATCCTCACAGTTTTATAATTGATATAAGGGTGTGATAGAATAATGGCAAAATTAATAATGTTACTTCTAATAAGAGAATGTCTTTGATGGCAAGATGAAAATTTTTTGAAGACCACGGGAGTTGACCATGGAAGAAAAATCCTGTCAGTGACAAAAGATTTCAAATAACTGAGTTTATTAGAAAGCAAAGATACCGAGAAACAAACTTTCAAATTGAAATACGGCTAAAAGTAAAAAGAAGCCATATTTTTGCTTAAAACGTTGCTATGATGTGAATAGAAATACAAATAAACAGAAAAGGGTTTACAGAAATGGAGATGTTTCCTTTCCTTCTACAAATAAAACAACAATATCGCAAATAGCAAAAATTCTTCCAATGTATTTAATGTGGACACCAGGTGAGTTTTTTGTAAAGCCCATTAAATTATGTAAATGTTTGCTGCACTTTATTTAACCCTTTCACAGCGAAGCTGCCCATATCGCCCGTGTAATTCAGGCTTCGGCAAGTCGTCCGAATGCCTGCGTCCATTTCCTACCTGGTCTTTCTCCTATTACCTTAATGCATGGTTCAGTGTGTTTCGGAATATGCTAAATATGGCAATCACTCTTCTGAAATGATCTCAAGTTGAATGCACTTTTTCTCTCCTTCGCTTAACGTCAATGCTTAACTATTGATGCTCACAGCTGCAATCAGATCCTAACGTGGAACTGCACACAGTGGGTGAAACCACAGAACGGTCTCCAAGAGGAAAGTAATCACTTAAGTACGCTGTTGTTGACGGCTGTAGCATTTATTGTGCAGGTAGGAAGGAAATCCACTCCAACAGAAATTCCTATACACAGGCGTTTTCAGATGCTTGAGAGGAACAGTTTTTGGCCTCTACCCTCTTATTTCTTCGAATTATTCTAATTTAAATTAAAAATCCCGGTCAATTTATGCTGTTCAAGAGTCAAATTTCTTATATTTTTATTTTTTCACAACGAGCATAAGACGTTACCATATATAAGAAACGGGAAATCCACATTAAATGTTAGATTTCGTTATTTGTCGAAAATTATTTTTTTTAATTTGGCATTACCAAAATATGAATATTTTCTCCATTCACAAAATTCTGTAACTGGAAGTATATGATTAAGGCCAACGATAGCTAAATGAAGAGTCAGGTAAGGGGATAGTTATATACATATGGCGTTTGCAGGAAAAAGAGATGTGCATAACGAGGTGTTATAGCAGTCCCATACAGCAAATTTCAACGTTCTACTGTTAAACACTTCTGAGTTTCAACGTTCTTCTGAGTCTGAAGATGAGACACATACATACCTACGAACGTGTGTATATACGTGATGAAAAATCCTCTTTAAATAAATTTTAAATCCCTTTAAAAACCAATGTTGGAAAACATAGTCTTTTGTTCTGGCCGTATGTACAAACGTCAACAGAAATCGTTTAAATTGATTCGGGAACTGTCAAAATATATATTTCCATTAGAATATGATACCGGAAATTTTTCGCCTTTATAATATTTTTTTTCTATTTCGCCCAAACAAGTAAATAAAGGATAAACAAAACTATGTTTAACATGAATGCATTAATTTAAGTTAAAACAAAAGTGTGTTCTGCTTTTAATAATACATAATTGACTTAAAGATGCTCGAAAAAACGAGTACTACGTACGTTGAAAATTCTGAAATAAATGAGTATTTTATTTTTACTCTGAGACAATGTTCTGAAAATATTAGCCAAGCTTTAATTAACCTACATTCCATTATACTACGTATTCAAATTCTAATAAATTATTAATTAAAATTTATTTCTGTTAAATTTCTGTTTATTTCTGTAAAATTTATTTATTTAGTTTTACCTTTATCACTATATTTATTAAAACTACAAAATTAAATAATTATCGCTTTCGGAATGTTAATATGATATTTCTGATATTTGTAATCGAATTTCATTTTGAACTTAAATGAAATTTGTTCTTTATTAAACGTCCAGAAAATGACATATAAATGGAATGTGTTATAATTTGACTCTAAGAGGTCTTTCAATATTTGCATAAAGGTAAACAATACATAGCTAAGGTTATAATATATAAAAGCTGTCGATAATTGTTTCGTAAATATTACTTCTGTCAGTATGCATATCAAAAATTAAGGATATACATGGAAACTGCTGAAAAGTACTTGGTAAATATTATTTTAGCGGTATGCGTATTAAAAATTAATATACAAAACGTTTTAGGTGATTTCTTGAGTTAGCTGAAAAATAGAGTAAAATATAAAAAATAGAGTAAACTTACATACAGGACATTCTAAGTAAGGTTTTTCATGTATATATTGTCCATCAGCGGTCGAGCGGTAAATTGCTAAATTCTGGTTACTGGACTCGAACCCAGATATCTGCGAACGAGCTGGCTGTATGGGAAATTCCATTGTTTTGTCCATATATTATCATAAATAAAATCCGGTTTCCAGTCCTTTAGGAAAGCTTCCCTCCTTTTATGTAGATCGCTTTCGAGTACTTTGCCATGATGTAAATGCTCGAAATCCAATTCGAAACACGGATAAATTATTAAGAAACATTTTCCTCGTGTGTGCATGGGCTTAATATTCAAACATGAGTTTAATCTGAGCTTATGGGTAGTATTTTAATAAAGAAATTTAGCCAGCAGAACGATAGTTGATGACTAGGAATGAGTTTTGAATATTAGTAATTAATTTGGACATTCTTCAGAGTAATGGAGAAAGATCATTCAAATAGATAAAATTTGCTAATTTAATTTTGTTATTTAAATTGCTAGATTTTCGCTTTAAAAAATGTAATTTTTCATTTTCACTTGATTCTGTTCAAATCATAGAATTATACACATTGCACTAACATCACTTTATACTGATATATTCTAAGCATTTTTAAGCAATTTTGCAGGATTCGTACAACCTTTTACTAAGATATATGTTTGAGCATTCATGCAAACATTCTTAATATTACAGTAAAGAGTTGAGATACTTGTCTTAATTAAAATGTACAAGGGATATTAACTCCTCCGAAATTAAATATTATTCCTTACAAAATTTTATCTGAAATGTGCGAGGGATTACTTTATGAAAGCCATACTTTTCTGAACAAAAATTACTACAATTCACTTTATACAATGAATTAATTAACGCTATTGTGCAGCTATGTCACCTTTTATGGAGGAAGGAGATATTAATTAAAAACTCGTCAGCGAATTTGCAATAAAAGCACATCAGCTGGGGATAAAAGGTAATTATTATTAGCCCACGCGATAAGATAAAATCAAAGGGATTCAAACAAAAGACAAAATGAAACATAAAACTCTAATATGTATGTAAACTGGAGATTTGAACTAATCCTGCAAATTGTGCCCTTTACGTTGATTCTTGTTGCTTTAGTAACCGTAACATTTATTCTTCGGCGTATTGATTTAGTTAATATTAGTGTTGGAGATATTTGAATGTTTTGATTGCTTTGCGATTTAAAAATGATGCAGACTGGAAGAAGCCCAGAGAAGTTAACACTGACGGTGCAAAAGACATATAAGTGTAGTGATGGGATTTTTTAGATCGAAAATATGCTTCTCAGTTAGTGTTCCTTCCATGCAGTCTTTGCAAAGAGGCTGTGGTTCTCTCAATGACCGATCTTTCAATGACCGAATGAGTTGAATTAGAAAGCTGCAAACACATTTTTTGTCCTAACATATGTAAACACATCCTTCTGACTAAAAATCTGTAATTTAATCTCTCATCTCCAAATTTATATTCGTTACTTTCAGGTAGATTTTTTAAAATTTTAAACGAATTTTTTGAATAACGCAAGAACGTAGACAATACTTTTATGGTCAGGTTAACCCATAGAGAAACCTTCACTAACTTAAAATACCGAAACTTCCCTCCATTAGCGCACAAAGAACTGTGAAGATTTAAACTGACATCCTTTATACTTCCTAACAAAGCAGCTTCCTTTATGAAGCCATTAGGATTTTGATAGTTTTCTGTGACACTCCGAGAAAATGTTCCAAACATTAAATTTAACACCACTAACTTTCATGTTCAAGAGTATATTTACTGCATCTGAGCTTGAAATATGTACATTTAGTAATTTAATGCTCTAAATTTGTCATGTATATCTTTTTAATAAATAGTTATGCATTTTAAAGTGGCTAATTTCACATACAAATGCTTCATTTTTAAATATTTTAATGCACATACTATTCAATACCTTTACTGTTCGATTCTTAATTATATTGTTTTGATTTTTAATGTCTCCGATCTAGTCTTTGATGAATTGTTATTTTCCCTTTTAGTTCGAAAGGCAGATATGAAGAACATAGGAATTTAATAGCAAGAAGGCTTAAAACATTTATTGTTTCTTTCCTGAAGCGAAAAGACAACCTTCGGGGTCAGAAGTGATATGCTAATTAATCGTTACATATAGACGAAAATCTTAATGTTAATCCACAAGAGGAAATGAAGGCATTCTCTTAATTTTCCTTTACAAGAAAAACTCGCAGTTTGACTCTGCACCATAAAATAAATAATAAATAAATAAATAGATAAAGGAGTATTGTGCTTACAGGAAAACTTGGTAGTCTTAATTCTACACATCATAGAGGAGATAGAGGCAGTGTCTGAATTCTTCATTATCGTAACACCTTAGTTATCTTAATTCACAGTCCGCCGCTCAAAAAAACATGGAAGAAATTTCTTAATTTTATAACACGAGATCATATAACAAAAATTTCTTAACTTCTTGAAAATATATTAACATTTTCAACATCTGTTTGTTTTAATGTTTACAGGAAATTTGAATAATATATTAGAAATAATAATTTATAATGATATACGAAGATATATTAAATAAAAATAAAAAATAATCAATTCATTTCATAACAATATAAATTTTATATGAACTTAAAAAAGAGAACAAGCGGGGAATGGAATTAAAATGGAATAAAAACTCAAGAATGAAATGTAACTTAAAAACAAAGGATTATAGAGTTAATCAGAAAATGAAAGGAAAGAAAGAAGAATTTTATGGAACCAGTCAAGTAACGATTGACAATTTTTTATTTCATATTACTTTAAATATGCTTCTTGTATTGGATCTCATGAATTTTTAAATGAAGTAAGACTTTTTTTCAAAATATGAGTTAGGTAAATTAATAACTAAAAGAGAAAATTAATATATATATATATTTAAACGCAACTATTCCGAAGAAGTTGATTAAATTAAACAAGGCGGTTTTAATTATGTAAATATTAATATTACTCTAGAAGTACTGCAGCTGAAGTATTTCAGATAAATTATTTGAAACAATTTATTTTCTTCTTTTCCTATGCTTTTAAAATAAGCGATTTCGAAATAATTCTAAAAAAACTGAAAATATATTTTATTTCATTTCTTGGAACTCCGCTTAAAGTTCCCCTTACTAGTCGTTGTTATTTTATCTTTAGCAACCGTTTCCACACATTTTGCTTATGAATTGTGTTTGAATAAGATTAGAAATGACTGCTACAATTTAAATAAAAATAGTATTAAAGGAAACTCATTATTTGCTGTGACTTTATCCTAAGCACTGAAATTTAAGGAAAATTGATTAAAGCAAGATATAAATAAAAACAAAAACAAATTTTTAAAATGCTTTTGAAGAAACGAAAATGCTGTTTCTGAAGTTAAAAAACTAATGACTGCATAGTCGGAAAATAAACACTTTTATAAACACATATAGCACATTATTGTGATTCTGATGATGTTTCATTGAAAAACAGAATGTAATACGATATATAATTTTGATGAATTCTTAAAAGCTTAATTACTTTCATATGAAGGCTTAACATTTTTCTTATAAAAAATGATTTATATCATACGCAAAGTTTGAACTAATTTTCTGAGCACATATATATATATATATATGTGTGTGTGTGTGTGAAATATAAAAAATACGATGGTTTTGCTCTGCGCGAACAGGCAACCTATAATTAACTTTTCGCAATTTTAGGATCTTTCCCTAGACCAGAACATTCTGGTATGTTATATAACAGCTACTATAAATACAGAGTTCGCAGCATTATTCGACAGACTGCTTTATCCTCCTGCTGCTATCAGACCTTTGCTGCCGCTCTGTCTCTCTTTGTTCGAATGGTATGATGCAGTAAATTAAAAGTTAATGTTATTTAGTTTAAATCACTATTGAATATGTGATTTTAGAGAATTTCGTCTAAAAGAACAATGATCTGCCTTTTGAATTGAATTAGGATATGGAGCTATAAAGTTAAATTCTTCTGTGTCGTCATTTCGCTACATCCCATTCCACCAAATAATTTGGTACCTTACCACAATATTACATATGTATATACAACTGTCCCGAAAGTTCAGTGAATGTCTTTATGGTTCTAATGGATTTTTGTCTTACATAAAACCAGCTGTTGTTAGCGGTAGTGCATATTTGAGAGCTGTTGTACACGTTCTGGAAACTCCTGGCGATTACGCCAGGAATTTCCAGTTTTCCCAGCCAGGAGTTTATAGGCGGCTTTTAGCTGAATCGTAACGTAACGTTGGATGTCTGAAATACCTTAAAATATCTGGCCCTTCAGGGTTAATTTCAGTTTTAGGAGTAAACGTCCGAGTAAGCAGCGTCTGGGTCCGGGTAAGCAGCGTCTCGAGAGCAGCGTGGATAATTCAGAGACGCAGTTTCCATATTGGATAGGAACTGCTACACCAGAAATGCAGTGCGTGTTCCGGACTTGGCTTGATCCTTTAAAATAGGTATTTCAGAGTTTCCAAGTACGTAACGACATTTAACATGGTTCCTTCAGGGATGAATTCTTTATGAATGAGACCCTCAGAGTCAACACCACGAGCGTTGTCTTAACGCCGGATTTCTCTCTCTCTTGCTTTTTGGCGACCCTAGACTCTATAATATGACATCGCTTTCAGGATCGTGCCTCAGACATCAGGTCTAGACACCCGTTACATTGTTTTCAGGAAATTTGAATTTCGATCCGCCATATCGATGAGGTTGTAGGGATTTATATTTATTTTAACTCACAAGTTAAATTTTAAGCTTTTCTATAAACCTTCAATCCCCTAATCGTTAATTCCAGGATATGTAAATTTGGTAGTAATTTGGTGTAAATTTGGTGTCATGCCCTTCTCGGGAAGCGTTTAAACCCCTCATACATGCATTTCAAGGTAACAGCACGTTCTTCGTAAACTGTTATTAGAATTTTATGAGTCCGTTTCGTTGATTTTCCAAGTTTCAAACTGAACAGCTTATTTGTTCGCTGATCCATTTTGATTCTCGGCCACACACAGAATACTTCTATTCCACAATGAGGTGTTTCCATGCGATAAACACACTCGCAGTGCCGCCACTCGGTAACTAGTTCAGACCAGTCTTTGATCTTGCGGGATGAGCCAATTGTACATTCTTACGCTTGTGAGCACTATGGCGTCCTTCACCGAACTTTATGGATAGAGGTTGTATAAGAAAGTCACTCTGTAATTGTTTAGATACACGCAGACAATAAGTGGCCAAAAATTAATGGTTGATCTGAAATAATGAACTATTTAGCCCAGCAGACGATTTTTTATTGGCTACAAGTATACAAGTCTTATACAAGTAGTTTAGCGTAGAATAAATTTCAGGAAGAATGAAAAATAGAGTTGACGCAAGAGCATTATCTTGCTATGATTTTCCATGACTTTAAAGTGGGATTAAATTAGGAAGACAGCGTTTAGCGTCTACAGTTATCATTTGGAAATAAAGGTCTCCACCTCGTGCTACTGTATTCAGATTGTTTACAAAATTTCACAGTGGTCGTAATTCTTCAAGATGAAGAACACATTGAAAGCAATAATCCCGGATAATGCATCTGCAATATGGAAAATACTAATCTATGCAATCAGTCAATTAATCAATTAAATCTATCAAATGATACAGAGGGAACTTAGCATTGAATATGCCGGCGTGCATAAAATTATTCATGAAGAATTGCAAATAAAATAATTTGTTTGCCCTAGAATATAATTGACCACAAAAAGAGGAACGTGGCAGAATCAGTAAAGTTACCCTTAAATTACTTAAAGATGGTGGCCACCGCATTATTTCTTAAATCGTAACTGGTAATGAAACGTACATACCATTTTTTTAACTTTCCAACACGGTAAGAAAGTAAAATATGGGTCTTTGAAGATGACACCACGCCCATGATGGTGAAAGACAACGTGTCATGAAAATAGTAATGTATGCTATTTTCTTCAGAAGTGCAAGACTGGTCAAAGCCATCAAGCTGTAAGGACAGAAGATAGTCATAGTTAATTGGTACACCACTAAGGGTCTTCCAGAAATTCTTCAAGATGTCAACGCTAGAGGACTCATGCTTCACTATGGCAATGCATCTTCTCATTCAGCAAGATTAACAGTTGAGTTTTTTGAACAAAACCAAAGTGATAGAACTAGTTATGTGTGACTTTTGGCTACTTTTTAATCTAAAAAAAAGCTTACGTGGACGCCGTTTTCATTCCGGAGATTGATGAGGTTATAAATGCATTTTTTTCATCGATTCCAAGACATGAGACAGGTTATCTTTAGAAAATTTGCCTAAAGAAGTGCATTGATGCTGGAGGAGACGGTCTTTGAATTACTCCTAAAATTTTGTAAGTATAACTTTAAAAACCTATGCGTATCTAAAATATTTGAGACCGACCCACGTATAAATATAAAGATTAAGTTCAAAAGGAACAAAAATTATGATTTTCCTATCTAAGGAAAACGGTGTAGGGTGAAGAATATTTAAAAGGTTTTAAAATGAAAAATGAAAATTTAGATTAGTCAAAAAGACTAGTTGTACTGGATGTTAATACTTGTAAAACTTTGGTTAAATCATTAAAATTAAGTAGATAGGAAAAAAATGCAAAATAAAAAATCAATTAACAAATCAAACATTAATCACTCCTTTTTAATGTTTCAAACAAGGCGTATTTAAAACATTAAACCCGCCTGATTAACGAGCGCTGAATAACATGTTTCGTTCCTCTTGAAACTTTAACACTCTAAACCGTTGTAAATTAATTTACTTTTTATAAATTATTTCTGAGTTAGCCTTACACTGTTGAAGAGCTTTTCCTACATGCTATTCAACTTCTTCGAATTAAAATTATAGTACAAACAAAAGCCTTATTAAAATAAAAATGTGTAAACCCACAAACTAAAATTGAAAAACATAAAATATAACAAACTCATAGCAAATAAAAATACAGTAAACTGTAAGAAAAGCTAGAACTGTACATATAAATTATGAAAGCGTGATACATACAAGTTATGAATTACTCTAACGGGTAGTCAAACGTATACTTAAAAAAGTTCTGTCCCATAAACTCAAATTCCGATCTAGTTTAAAGGT